TATTATTATTATAATATTATTATTAAAAATATTTTTTTAATGAAATCAAGCTGAAATAAAACAAAAAATAAATATTAGACGAAACGCTTAAACTTAAAAAAAAAAAACTTAAAAGATAAAAGTTAGAAATGTTTGTTTAAATACTAAAATTACTAAAACTGAAATAAAAATAAATAAAATTAATTTAGAAAATAATACAAATGTCAAAAGCAAATACTAAAATTAAAACTGAAAATATAAAAATGAAAACTAATTTAATAAATATTAGTAATATTAGTAATAATATTAATATATGCTATAATAGTATATAATATAATAATAATAATAATATGATATATAATAATTTATAATAAATAAAAATAACACTTGCCATATTTGGCCACAAACTTAATTTCGAAATCTGTTCTCTTGAAAACAAGTCAAATTAATTTTGCTTTAATGATGTTTAGATATTTCACTGTTAAATTAACTTTACTTTGCTAAAAGAATTCAAAATAGAAAACAATATAGTGTTTTATACAATACAGATCGACTCATTCACAGTAATAAACATTAAAATATTAGTGTTAATGCAATAAAATGTATCAATTATGGAACTGAAGCTGTATTATTCAGATCAATTCAGTTCAATGGAGATTGTGTGTGTGTGTGTGTGTATTTATCTGTGTGTCTGTGTGTGTGTGTGTGTGTGAGTGATTTGATTCAATTCTTAGAACAAAATATTAGTTATATATTTATATATATAATTATTAATTTAATTTAAGTATTCTGAATTTAACAAAAATTATATATTTTTCACTTTTTGCATAATTTGACAACATTACAGCTTCATTTGATTAAAAAAAAACTTTTTTTCCCCAAATCTTCTTCATCATTATCAATAAATTATTAAATTGTTCAAGTTTTATGAATTCAGCTGATTAGACAAGTTTTTTGATTATTAATTCAGAAAAATTTTAACAGAATTTGGGGGAAAAAATAACACAGATTACTAGGCACCTAAAAATATTTTTTTTGTTAAACTTTTAATAAATTGTTGTTAAATTGCATAGGTTTTATGATTGATTTCAAGATTGAAAATTTATTTCATAGTTCCCTAATATTATACAAGTGTTTTAATAAATTAAATTAATAAATAAAAATTATTAAATTGTTACATTTGTTCATGAATTAAATTGATTAGACATGCTTTTTGATGATTAAAATTTAATTAAAGCGTAATCCAGAAAAAAACTAAAAATAAATAAAACAGATTTCTAAAGCCCTAAAAATGTAATTTTGGTTAACTTTCCAATAAATTGTTGTTAAACTGTATTAGTTTCATGATTTTTTTTATTTAACCATTAAAGTGGAAAAAACTGAATTTGAGAAACAATAAAATGGAAAAATGAAAAAATGAATAAAACTCATTTCTAGAGCCCTAAAAATGACATTATTTATTTATTATTATTTAATTTACTTAAATTAAACTTTTAATTTTTTTAAAATTTTAATTTAACCAAAAAAAGGAATCTAAATGGGAATAAAATGAATTTGGGAAACAATTTCCCCAAATTAAATGTGTGATGCACACAGACTCTGCTCACATTTCTCATTGTCTTCCATCAGAGAAAGTGACCAAAGTGTGCGCCTCAGACGGCCACTGGTTTCGTCACCCGGAGAGCAACCGTCTGTGGTCCAATTACACGCAGTGCTCGGCTTACACTAAGCACAAGCTCGAGGTCAGAGCTTCACTTTTACACATCAACCCAATCCTTCAGAATCCTGCCTGTCTTACCCTCTGTGTGTCTCCCGCAGCTCACGTTAGTCAATTACTATCTGGCGATGGTGGGGCATGTCCTGTCCATCATCTCGCTGCTCATCTCCATCTGCATCTTCTCATACTTCAAGTACGTCAGAAAAACAAACACATGAAGACTCTGTCAGTGAGGAGACAGTAGCAGATCATTTCTGTGTTTGTGAAAGCTGTATATGATGTAAGTGAATGGATGATGTCTGCGCAGGTGTTTGAGCTGCCAGCGGATCACGCTTCATAAAAACATGTTCACCTCCTTCATCCTGAACTCGTTCGCCACCATCGGCTGGTTCTACTTCGTCATCGGAGATCAGCGGACCAGAACAGACTCGGTAAGTGCATGCATACTGTATATGACATACTGTATATATGAGCTGAACATGATGCTCTCTCATAAACACTTACTGTAACTTACTGTACAGAGGTTTCCAAACTGGGTTGCAAAAAAATTGAGGAAAAAGCATTATAAATATGTCAAAATGAATGTGTGCACTTAAAATATTAATGCAATTTGTAATAATAAAAGCAAAATAAACAAATATACAAATATACAAAATAACAAAAATAAAAAAGCAAATAACATGTTTTGTTAAAAAATCATATATATGTTATTTAAATAAAATCTGCTTTCTTAGCATATACAGTGGGTACGGAAAGTATTCAGACCCCCTTAAATTTTTCACTCTTTGTTATATTGCAGCCATTTGCTAAAATCATTTAAGTTAATTTTTTTTCCTCATTAATGTACACACAGCACCCCATATTGACAGAAAAACACAGAATTGTTGACATTTTTGCAGATTTATTAAAAAAGAAAAACTGAAATATCACATGGTCCTAAATATTCAGACCCATATATATTAACTAAAACTGATTTTAAAAAATAATTTACATTATTTGAAATAAAATAAATGTTAACTGACTTAAAATATAAAATATTCAAAATTATTTTACTTCAGTTTTATTTCAGCCATTCTTATTTGTGTTTAGTTTAACTTGAAGTACTAAAATAACTAAAACTGAAATAACTAAAACTAAGTAAACTAAAACTAATGAACAGAAATTAAATAACAAAACTATGTAGACAAAGAACAAAACTTAATTTACAAAAAAAATAAATCTGTAAAAATCATATATATGTCACGGTGACACACACACACACGAGGAACGTTTTTATATATTAACTAAAACTAAAACCATTAAAAAAATTGTTACTTGAAATAATATAAAATACAAAAAAAAAAAAACCTTAAACTTATTTTACTTCAGTTTTATTTCAGCAATTCTCATTTTTGTTTAGTTTAACAAAGTACTAAAAAACTAAAACTGAAATAACTAAAACTAAGTAAACTAAAACTAATAATTAAAAAGTAATAAAAACTAAATGGACATATTTACAAAACTTGTACTCATGTATTAAAATATACTAAAACATTTACTACAATTAAAGTAAAAACAGAAAAAATATTATTATATATCAAAATATTAACAAACTATAATAGTATCTCAATGATACTAAAATATATATATACAGTATATTCCTATGTGTTAATAAAATAGTAAATATAGTAAAATAATAAAAATAAAACTATATAACATAATATTTTATCATCATTTTAATGTTTTATATAATAATAATAATAATAATAATAATGTCATATTTCAACCATTTGCTTTTGTACAATTACAAAATAAATATATAAAAATATACATGATCTGATTTAATAATCTGTCACCATAACTCCTAAATGCTTGGCAATAAACCTCATTCTGATTTTGGAAGCAATTATTTGATTCAGCTGTGTAATAAACAGTGTAAATGACTATATATTTAATGAAGTGTGTTTGGCGCTCGTGTTGTTGTTGATGTTCAGTCTCAGATCGGCTGTAAGCTGCTGGCTAGTATCATGCAGTACACCTCCTGCTCCAACTATTTCTGGATGCTGTGTGAGGGGATCTACCTGCACACGCTCATCATCGTGGCCGTGTTTGTGGGAGAGCAGCAGCTGGGCTGGTATTACGTCCTCGGCTGGGGTATGTACTGATCCGTACGTAGGTAGGCAAAAGCCAAATGCCCCCTAAAATGCTTTTCATATAGGAGATGCGCATTAAGCGCTGGCACGCGAACGGTTGCTGTTTACGGTGTTTATTACCATGACAACCGTCCGATTTGAACGTGCTTCAAAACATGCATCTGAAGCTGTAATTAAATATTGAGAAACAGTGTGTATTATATGTTTAGAATTGTTTTAAACAGTGTTGGGGGTAACGCATTACAAGTAATGCGAGTTACGTAATCAGATTACTTTTTTCAAGTAACTAGTAAAGTAGCGCATTATTTTTTCATTTACAAGAAAATATCTGCGTTACTTTTTCAAATAAGTAGCGCATGTTACTTTTTTTTTCCAATTTATTGATTGACAGCTCTGGTGTCGCCATGGTGACAGAAATCAGAAGATGTTACTGTAGTTCTAAAATAAATATGAATATGCATTAATTCATCTCACTCACAAAAAACACACAGATTCAGTATTCCTCAAAATGAATAAAAATAATGCAACTCAGAATATGACGCAAACCTGCAATAATTAAATGTTAAACAACACAAATATCCTTTATGTATTTAATCCCATTAGTAGTGCAAAAGTAACGTAACGCATTACTTTCCATAAAAAGAAACTAAGTAACATAATTAGTTACTTTTTTATGGAGTAACGCAATATTGTAATGCATTACTTTTAAAAGTAACTTTCCCCAACACTGGTTATAAATGCCGCTTACTCATTTATGAGAAGGAACCATGTATAGAGGACACATACGCAGTTACTTTTTTGGTTGATATAATCCTTAGGTGTGTAAATGTATAATTAATTGTGAGGTTTATCATTTTATAATTTTTTTTTTGTTTTTTTTGTGAAAACTGTAAATCAATTGCTATTTCGTGGTCTACAGCATGAAAGAAAGCCATTATAACATGTACATGAAAAATGTAGAAACATTGGACACAACTATGGGGCACCATTTTGCTGCAGCAAGCATCACAACAAAAAAGGAACCTCAAGGCTGATCTAGGTAAATGTGTGCAAATATATAGGGCCCGATTCCTATATTTTGCCTGGGGCCCCCAATTCACTAAATCCGCCCCTGCATTATTATTTTTTCACGGCAAATATATTAGTTTGAGCTCATTTAAGACGGAGTCTGTTTTTTGCAGGTTTCCCAGTGATCCCTGCTGTCCTGCACGCCGTGGCCCGTCTGCTCTTCCACGACGACAGGTAAACAGGACATTTCTGGATTTCACACTTAAAACTGAACTCTAAAAATGTTCACTTTTTAAACCTGAAATGCCTAAATATTTGATGTTTACTCCAGGTGTTGGATCATGAACATAAAGCTGCTGTACATCACACATGGCCCCATTCACGTCGCTCTGCTGGTGAGCTTCATCATCATCATCATCCTCAGTGTTTGTATTAAAAGTAATGCATTACAATATTGTGTTATTCCATAAAAAAGTAACTAACTGGGTTACTTTTTATGGAAAGTAATGCGTTACGTTACTTTTGCGTTACTTTTCTCATCTGGGCTGGGCTTGCTAGTTTGTTTTTAATATAAAAAAAGTTATATTTCTGGCAAATGTAAAAGGCCTTTCACACCAGAAGTGAAATTAATAAGCCGCAGGCTGAAGGAAATGTACATTCAGGTCTGAACAGTAGAGGGCGCCACTCAAACAAACCTTTATATGCTGCCATTCTGGATTGCATGAAGAAAGTTCAACACTCTTCAGCGAGAAAAAAAAAGTTTATCTAAGGTAGAGCTGTGCAATGAATCAAGATACAGTTTCAATTTCGATTTTGGCCTCCAACGATTATGAAAATACAGTAATCGAGATAAAACGATTATTGCGCCCCATTCCACCCCTTTCCAGCGGTGCGCTTTCACTCCTCCATAAAAGCCCAATTTGACGTGTGAATCAGTAAAATCATGTAACGTGACTTTTGCAAAATGGGACATACTTGATTTATTAAAGCTTATTAGATTTATTCATGTTTTAAAAGCGTTTATTTCTGTGCGTGCGCTCGGAGACGGAACAGAAGACGGACGAGTAAAGTGAGCGTTTAGCTTAAGGTGCGCCTAAACGGTCAAATACACACAAAAATGCTTGGTGATTATTCATATAAACCCTCGTCGGTTTTGTAATAAGTGAACGTAAACAGTTGAGAATGAAAATACGTGAATAACTAGTTAAATTGGATCCGTGCGGCTCTTAAAGTGACAGCAGCCTAATAATCCTGCTGCTGACTGTGTGCTTCATATTAATCAAACAACAAAACACAAAGAGAAAATCGCTTGACTGAAGGACTTTTGTAGCTTTAATAAGAAACAAAGGAAGTTTAATTCTTTGTTAATTCAATTTCTGTAGTAGGCTGTTAGCTGAATAATTTAGACTTGCACTGTTTGTTTCATTTGTATCTTTTTTTCTATTGTATTTGTCCTTTGCTTTTTTTTTTTTATTACTGACCTTTTAATTATTTTCAATAATTTTTTAGGGCTTTTTTTTTGTTTTGTTTTTAACTAATATTACTTACCCTAGTATTCTGCTGTGGTATTGAGAATCGTGAAATTTCGCTGGTCTCTAAAATGCGATGAACCTTATTTACAGAAAATATACATTTGATATATATCGCTATCTTTAAATAAATCACTCGTTGGTCATGTGGCCCACTCATAATCGTGTTAAATAATCGTGATTACAATATTGACCAAAATAATCGTGATTATGATTATTGTCAGAATCGAGCAGCCCTAATCTAAGGTCATTTTTACTTATTCGTATGGTTGAATTGGATCATCGAAGGACAGCAGCAAAGACATTGGTTAATAAAATGGGAATAAATGCATAAAGGATATTTGTGCTATGTTGCATATTTAATTATTGCAGGTTTGCGTCATATTCTGAGTTTGCATTTGACTGTTTTTATTAGGGATGTAACGATTCAATCAACTCACGATTCGATTCGATTCACAATTTTTTTTAACAAAATTAGATTTAAGACAAATTATAAATTAAATGTGTCCTTTTATTATTGCTTGGACAAAATACTGTATTTTTCTTTGTGAAATTGAAATATAACACTATAATAATATACTAATATCTGCACTCACTCCTGATTTCTCTCAACATGAGCACAGGAGAGCTGCCAGTCAATACATGAGGAAACAAAGTAACTGGCGTTACTTATTTGAAAAAGTAACTCCGATATTTTATTGCAAATTAAAAAGTAATGTGTTACTTTACTAGTTACCGAGACCAATGTCTACATGAAGGCGGTTCGCGCCACCATCATCCTGGTTCCTCTGCTGGGCGCTCAGTTCATCCTGGTGCCGCTGGAGCCCAGCGGACGCGTCGCTCTAGCCGTCTACGAGCTCTTCATGAACATCTTTGTGCATTTCCAGGTAATGAACTTGAGCCTGTAAAGACATTAGCATCAGCGTTTTGTTTCTGTAGCTATGTTTCCATCCAAAGATGCGAATTTAACTTATGCGCAAAACTGGAATGTCGCATAAAACATTTGCGAATAAAGCACCACTTCCATCCAACGAGTCAAAAGCTATGTTTCCATCACCCTATTTTAATGCGCATTTTGAAGTATCGCATGAGAAACGAGTGATGGAAACGCCAAATTTCGAATAAAAATCCCTTAATTCGCAAAAACGTTTTTATGCTCGCTTGAGGTGGTTTTTGACTTGTGCGAAAAAGGGTTGATGCGATTATTGGGAGATGGAAATGCATTTTGCGAATAAATTCCTCCAACCGCATCAAAAAAGTCATGTGACTTTGCGC